TACTATTATTAACGCGTCAGTATAATAGCAACCGATTTCAGTTGAAGGATAATTAACATCGTTTAGAGAAAATAATTTTCTTTTTCTGGGAAATCAATTTTTCATACAATTCATCACTTATATGTCGATTAGGTCAGTAAATAAATAAATTATCATACGATCATTTGAAATTAATGAACGAGGAGTAGTCATAAGTACAATCACTTATACTGTACAGTGTTTAAAGAATTCTTTTAACGAGTTGAAATCCAATTTTTATATTTAAAAATGTATTTGTACTGAAGTTTTTAAACGTTATTACAAGTAGAAGTGACAATAACGCTAAAGTTTTCGATTTAAGCGTGTACCAGTGATAGATATCTATAGAATACTCATATTTAATACATTGTTATGCACCTTCTCGCTCGATAGGCGTTACACTTGACACCAAAGAACAGTTTGCCGTTCACGGAACAAGTGTATATCTATATAACACTTTAAGTACAAATCCACAGTTGTTCTGGTTTTCGATCAATACAAAAACATTGAAAAATTCGGGGAAATTGATATAAAACATTCTATGTTCCGTGAGCCACAGAATTAGGATTCTTTAATTTTATAATTTCAATAATGAATAAAATTTAAATCCATCATGCAATAATATTTGTATTTATTTACTCAGGATATATTTTCATAAAGTAATGATACAGATATTTGAGTAAATTAAGAATAAAATACGAAAACATCAAGCATCAAGAGAGTTATTTAAAAAATGAAGGTAAGAACGAAGGATGCACATGTTTCAATAAATTTGACTTCTTGAAGGCGAAAACTTGTAGTATTGTTTAATAAACCGTAATATGGTTCGTCAACTATGAGAAACGAGGAAGCATCCTTTCAGTAAATGCACACGCATAACTGTATGCAAATGCACTTTTTGCAGAGAAGATAGCAACGCGAACGATACATGGTGACGCAGGAGTGGGCGGGTGTCGTCGCTACGGAGCGCGGCGTCAAAGGCAAAAGTGCAGGTAGTTGTTTGGCGCGGACACTCGAAGACCGACGTCCCAGGACAAGGGTGATCCAGTAATCGTCGCGTTCTCCTTTCGATCTGCCATCGTTCTATTCACCGGTTAAAAATATTTCAAGGTGCGCGAAAAATTTCATCGAGAATCTTGAAAAGTGTTTTGATGAAAGGTGTTCTCTTTTGATCGGTATGAAAGGATGCCGCGTAATTCGACGTTACTCTTATTGAATTTCAATATATGCAAATGGGATGCGTTTGCAAAAGACCGCGCGTGATTTAGCCGTTCGTGTTTTCCATCGAACGGTCCACCTTACTCTGCATTCATCGCTTTTGGGTGTGCGGTCCTTTTTCACTACTGGAGAGAATTTCCGTAAAGCTCTTCGCGGCCCAACGGAACGATACAAGGTTCCAAAAATTTCAATGTCGCTGCGTTTCGAATAACTGCATGCAGAATATAATAAATTCGAAGAACTACATTCAAGAAATGCTAGACATTTAAAGTATTTAGATTTTATAATTTGGGGCTGCTTGAAATTTATTGGATTGCTTTTTTAACGCGACCATAGGTGGCATTTGAATTAGAAATAAATTTAATTTACTGAAAGTGAAAAGTGTTTATATCATATTGCGTTAGAAAGGATTTATCGAATCGTGATTTTTGTAGCGCATCATGAATTTGAAGCCGAAGAAAATGGGAATCATCGGTGGATCGATGCTAGCTTTTGGCATCGTCTTCTGTTCAATCTTTTTCCCACCGTTTTTAAGATCACAAGTGAAAAAGGTAAGTCGTACAAACTTACAAAATGGGCTGCATACAGCATA